TGCAGGAAATCCTCAGAATCGTTATCAATCTTCTTTTAATCTACTCAGCGTGTGAGCAAACACAAAACAAAGCGTTAATCTAAAAAGAAAAAAAGATAAAATATTGCCAATGTAGGGAAAAATTAGCATTTGGAATCAGATTATCAGCGGTACTAGCATGCTGCGATTGGCAGTTGCGTTCTTATGTTTTCCCTGAAATGGCAATACAAACATTGGAAACTGCCAAGGGGCAAGACAGCTCCTAATCATGAGCAATTTCAGAGTTGCTTTTTAGGCACCTCGAGTAACTCTCAATGCTCAGTGAGCAAGATCGCTGTCATTTGCTTTCTCACATTTCACATCACAGCAACATTTGAAGATGCACCTTCATGCGAAGCTGAAAAGCTGCTGTCAAATAAAAAAACAATAAAAGCGGAACTCGGAGACATTTAAATCATCTCAGTTTAATAGCCTTCGTTCGATCCTTACCAACCGTGAAGGTGTAACGGCGCCGGTGGTGTAGTGGTAAGCGTGATTACCTCTCACTCCAGCAGGCCTGGGTTCAATACCAGTCAGCGCCGCCGGGATGTTCTGAGGCATAACATCTCTGATCACGCCTTCCTTCGGATGGGTAGTAAAGCCGTTGGTCCCCGGTTCATGAGTTGATGGGTCGATAGGTAGGGTCCAGGTGTGGGAGCTGCCTTCCTGGCACGTCGGTAGCATTGGTGCTCAGCACGGAAAACAAGATCGACGGAAAAAACAAACCAAAGGAAAAAAAAACAAAAACCGTGAAGGTGAAAGGAACCTGTTGCAACCATACACTTACGACGGTCGAATGCTGAACTGGTTGATAAAATACTCAAAATCGATACTCGTCGAAGCAATTCCGTCCCATCGCTTGACAAACCGCCGTTGGATGGAACTGCGAACAGAGCTCTGAATTACCACGGCGCCTTTCTGCTGACGGGGGACATCCATCCACGCTTTTGCTGGGCCTTCCGGATGGTCGTGATTTGGTCCCGTTTTTTGCTATACACCACCGAGATTTTTCTGCGGCCGTCGACCGAAGTCTCCAGGAGAAAGTCCACGAAGAGAATCTGTCGGCTTGATCTGTGCTTCGTCTTCCTGACGGGTTTTCACTTCGGTTTCGTCCGGTAGATCGTTAAAGGGTTTGAAGTTCAAACGATGATCGCACTCACCGGAAACAGCAGCTACTTCATCGTCATCCTTCTCTTCGGCTTCGGCAGTGGCAGCGGCTGCACTGATGCTCTGGCTGAACATTCCACGGGGTAATGGTTTGTAGTGTTAACTTCGGAGCTGGAATTGGGTGTTAATCGGTTGTTGCCCCACCGGGGAGATATTTTCTATACCGGAAACTGTGGCGGCGGGTGCCGTTGGAGGGGTCATGGTTGAAATATTACTAACTACTCTATATTTGCCATGGTGCCAACGGGAAAGTCGGGCAAGTGTTAGTCGAAAGGGGATCGGAGATAGTTATTACCACATTGACTGGTGATGCCTTTTCCAATGGGACTGCGGTTACGACTGGAGAAATCGAAGATGCTGGGATCGCTGCATTATAGGTGGAATTTCAGATGTTTAGGAGAATTTTGGAGAGCTTTTTTGATCGGAGATGATCCTTTCGGAGTGACGACTGCGACTGGCTGCTGAGAAGGAAGAACAACCCTTAAAGCTGGTTGGAAGTGTAGGTTGTTATTGGTAGTAAGCAGGCACCAGCACAGGTTCTTCCATAATATTCCAGTTATTCGAAAGGCTCAGAATACACTTGGGATTACTTTATTTAAAAACAAACTTACCTTACCAATCAGGCTAAGGCCTTGTTGTCCTCTGCTGTCCGAAGAAGTCGTCTCCACTCTACTCGATCCATGGCCACACTTCGCCAGCCTCGTAGTCTGCGAAGGGTCCGCAGGTCGCCTTCTACTTGGTCGATCCACCTTGCCCGCTGCGCGCCTCTTCATCTTGTTCCTGTTGGGTCGCTTTCTAGAACCATTTTCACTGGGTCGTCGTGCGGCATTCTTACGACGTGCCCAGCCCACCGTAGTCGCCCAATTTTTGCAATGTGGACGATGGATGGTTCTCCCAGCAGCTGGTGCAATTCGTGGTTCATTCGCCTCCTCCACGTTCCGTCTTCCATCTGCACTCCACCGTAGATGGTAGGCAACACCTTCCATTCGAAAACACCACGAGCATAGTCCAGGTCTCGTGGCCGTAGAGGACCACCGGTCTAATCAGCGTCTTGTAGGCAGTCAACTTCGTGCGGCGAATTTTATTCGACCGGAGCGTCCTCCGGAGTCCAAAGTAGGCACGATACCCTGCCATAATGCGCCTTTGAATTTCTCTGCTGGTATCATTTTCAGTGGTCACCAGTGAGCTCAAATACACGAACTCATCAACCACCTCAATTTCGTCACCGTCAATCTGAACTCGGGGTGGGAGACTAACATTGTCTTCCCTAGAACCTCTTGCTTTCATGTATTTTTTCGTTGATGCGTTAATGGCAAGTCCAATCAGCCTAGCTTCAGTCTGATGTACGTTTCCGCCATCGTCTCAAAGTTTCTTGCCATGATGTCGATGTCATCGACGAGGTCAAGAAGCTGGATGGACTTCCTGAATATCGTGCCACTCGTGTCTATCCCAGCTTTTCTGGTCACACCTTCTAACGCGATGTTGAATAGCAGACACGAAAGTCCATCACCTTGCCGTAACCCCCTTCGAGATTCAAAGGGACTCGAGAGTATTCCCGATACTCGAACAACGCACATCACTCGATCCATCGTCGCCTTGACCAATCGCGTCAGTTTATCCGGAAATCCGTACTCCTGCATAATCTGCCAGAGCTAATCTCATGATTTAAAAACAAAACTGACGTCTAATATGAGACGTATATGCTTAAAAAGAGCGAACGGAGTAGGCAGAGTAAATATTGAGTTACATTGAATTACTCACGAGTTACTCGCTGCCAAAAGGCAACTCAGAGTGTGATGTGCATCCCTACATCTTCAACCCATAAATAAGTACAAGTCAAAAACCTCCATGTAAGCACAGCAAGTCATTCCACTTGAACCAAAACTCACAGGTCATATTACGCATAGCCAAACGCGACCAAATGTGCCGGTTGCGCCACGGCGTTAGAACACAATTATTTACACTCTCTCTCTCTCTTCTCGTGTTCGACCGTTCGACCCATGCCAATGCAGTCTCGATACCGATAGGTGTCATATTGCACAACTGGGTAGGACCACCGGGCACCGAAATTACCGACCTAGCGAAGATGCATTTTCCAGGCACGCTACTCCAGTTGTCTCACTCTGACTAATAGGTTAATTACGTTAAGCCAAGAACTGTAAAGAATTGTAAACCCTATATAAACAAAACCGAAACCCAAAAATAAAGATTCATAACCAATCACTTGAAGACTCTTGACTGTAGTCCTTACTGGTGATAGCTTTTCAGCTCACCATAGTTTGGATACTACTAAGAAAGAAAGTCCTTCTCCATTGGAATGATAGAACCTGTCACAAGAGCAAGGGGCAAGACAGCTCCTAATCATGAGCAATTTCAGAGTTGCTTTTGAGGTTCCTCGAGTAACTCACATTGCTCAGCGACCCAGATCACTGTAATTTGCTTTCTCACTTTTCGCACCACAGCAACATATGGAGGTGCGATGCCGTAAATCTGCTGTCAAGCAAAACAACAACAAAAATCGGGGACTACCGGCCTACAACTCCAGGCGAAAAAAAAAAACTCCAGGCGAGTATGGTTGCGATTCTGAACTTTCGATCCTAAATTTCCTTCGGTTTCCAGCTCCCGGGATCTTGGTGAGGAATAAAATCGACTCGTTTTTCTTAGCTGTTGGATTTGATCGTAATGACGTGACTGGATGACCGGATCTATGCATCGCAACCTCGGATCACTTTATGCCGTCTTCAAGTGACCGATCGCGCGGTGATGGCGTTCTGGCTGCTGTCTCAACTAGACTAACCAGCTACCTAAGTACCTCGCCCATTTCCAGTCTGCTGGAACAACTCTGGATTGTCGTGGAACTTCCACAAAACATTCTCAGTATTGGCGCTGTCTACCTGCCGACTGCACGATCATCCGTGAGCATCATCGTTAGGTCTTGATTGAGCCCCGCTCTCCCGCACTACAATTTGGCGACTACAACCAAGCTGGTTTACAGTGGCGCTTTACCAACAGCGGCACACCATTTATTGACCCACTGCTATCGCATATGCCGGTGGCTTGCTGTACTCTTTTGTACGGATTTAACTTACACGGGTTTAGTCAAGTAAACACTTTTCCCAACCGAAACGGACGTTTGCTAGATCTTATCCTGGCAAATGATTTCGGATTACCGGCCACTGATCAGTCTAGATGCTGACGCTCTCGTCGTGTCATTAAGGTTACCTATTCCGATTTCAAATAGACCAATCTACATTCTCTCAATTCTCAATTCTCTTCATCGACTCCCTCTTTCGTAAACAACTCGGCTACAAAAACATTTCCTGTCGTCTTTGTCGTATTAGATGCTAGACTGTTGCGTCTTCCATCGATCTGGGTGTCCAAAATATCCGGAAATATCTTAACACGGCCGTGACAATCCAAAAAGAAAGTCGATGAAGAGAATCGATCAATGCAGAAAAGGCCTATCGAAAAGTGACGCGAGAATTTTATTATGTTTACAAACAAGACTGACGCCTAATATATGAAGGCGATAAGCGGAGTAAGCCGAGGAGTAAACAGACAGTAAATCGATGAACTTCGATTTAATTTTGATGTACATTGAATTATTCGCAGCAAAAACAGAACTCAGGGTAAAGCTGTCTCACCCCTTGACTAAGAGTAAACGTGGAAACTGTGGAAGAAGTTTTTTGCTTTTTCTGTGGTACAATTCGTGTTTGTTAAATCATTCGAAGGAGGCCGTGAAAAATGCAACCCGAAAGTAGATATTGACAACCGAAATTTTGCTGCTCCCGTCAATTCCAACCAGGTCAAACACAATGAATAGGAAATTGTCAAAGGTATGATATTTTCATTAATATAAATAAAATCTCACAGCTCACAGCCTATTCGATTTCCATCAACAGAAGAAAAAAGCGCCGAAAATCTCACGCGAAGAACAGTTGTAAGTTAAATTATCTGGAAGTTACCTCATAAATTAGCTAGTGTCAATAACGGCTTCGGTAATGCCTTAACATATTATTTAGCATATTATTATCACAGACAAACAGACATAACTCTTAAATGATTTTTTTTTTCTTCAAAAATATCGTCAAGCGTATTTTGCATGCACACTAGCACCCTTTATCATGCACATTCCCAAGCATTGTTTTGCAACCGGAGCATCCCTCGTTCATGCAACCTTTTCACTAGTTGCTTTTCCCTCGTTATGTCAACGCATCAGCTGTGTTGAATAAAAACAAAACAGATGGAGGTCAGTGATGTCGGTTCTACGAAATTTTCCGTAGAATTGCGAATCCGTAGGATAAATTCACAGAAGGTCAGTCTTTTTTGTGGATTTTTTTTTTGATTGTTAAGTGTGATTTTGCTTTTGCTTGAAACAAGCTTTTAAACATGATAATGCATCACTAATGAGTGCCCTTTCGACCAACTGACATCACTTTAATGTGTACATAGCAAACACCATTTACTAAAAGGAGATACAATACATATTACACTCTTTAAAATGATTTGTTCACAAATTCTGTGTACATCGTCCAATCAACTGTTTGGATGTTATATTCAAAAACTTTTGTTTTCTGTATTTGTCGGATTAGTATGTGGTATGTATATGTCTCCAGTGGGATGCTTTGGCCCCCTTATCATTCTCAAGAGCTGACATCTACTAAATTGAGCTGAATAAGAACTAGCATCACTGATAAGTTCGAAATGTAGTGGCTTGCTTAACGCTTCAGTGGCCTCACCATGGCACATGGGAGCACATTCCCAACTAAAACCTTATTTGCGAAGAATGTGATTGTGAGAATTATGTCTGTTTGTCTGTGGTAAAACGTCGACACAAAAATACAACCAACAATCAATACGAAACTAACGATTTTTAATTGGCTCACTACTTGACTAGCCTATTGGTCCCAAGTAAATCGATTAACGTATCCCATTCTAGTATAAATTCCAGTACTGCACTATGTTTGTTTTGATTCCTTATGAAAGTTTGACAGATAAAATGAGGAACTCATGGATATTCCTATGTTTCGAGGGGTGCATCGATTAGCTTGGAACCGAAAAAAGTACCAGAGCTGACCCAAAAAGTTGAGCACGTTTCTTCGGGAACTTCTGGTCTTAGAGTTACCTCTATGATACTACCGTCATCTATTGAGTGCACTATCATGGATAGCACGCTCAACAGATGACGATAGTGTTTAAACGTCAAACGTAATGTAAATTACTCTGGTACGCACAAACGGCAGTACAACCTTCTACGAAAAATTTAAATTGTTCGTTAAATGCGTGTAAGATGAAAAACTTTCACGTAATATCACATTTAAACTGCTTACGAGAAACGAAAAAAAGAACAACCAGGTACTGTCGTTACAAGAGAGTCATGCACAGCTCGTGTACTGATTTGCTTTGCAACCTGACACCGAGGGGTGGCAACCGAGGGGTGGCAACCGAAGGGTGACTACGATGTTTCTTCATCAGACCTAGTGTTACGGGACGGACGTTCGGAAGTCTTTTCCAGACAATCTCGTTTTTATCGGAGTAAGCTTCAAGCTACAAAGGTTTTTATTTAGTAATAAGTAATTATTAGTTTTTAGGTTAGCTTACAGTTTTAGTTTTCTTTGTCTGTTTTCCGTCGATTGTAACAAAGATTCTTCAGTGTTTTGTGTTGTGCTGTAGAATGTAGGTTTTAATTTACAATAGATTTCATTTTAATTCATTTTACTTACGATTTTAATGTATTTAATATAATAAAATCTAAACTTAGCATAAGCAATTCAACTTTCAACGTGTTTGTTTTGTCACTGTGTATTGTTTTGTGTGAGCCAGATAGCGTATAGATATGGTGGGAGTTTTTTCTGCCTCTGACATTCTCTCGAGTTTATGTCGTTCGAGTACCTATACGGGTGGTACTGAACTCACTGGGCTCCGTCGCGTACACCAACGCCCGTATTGCTGCCATTTCTTCCAGCTATACCAGAATCTTCAGTGAAGTTCAGTACAGCTAACTTAGACACTGGCCGTTGTTGTATTCCCACCGCCGTTTGCACGTCAACTCGTCTGATTCGTCCATCTCTGCCTGGATACGCTCGCAGTATTCGCCCTCGCGTCAAGCTATTTCTCTCCTTCTCGCTAGCTATCATTACCAGATCACCGACCTGGACAGCGCGTACTTCCCCGAACCACTTGGATTGAGGAGACATCACCGGAAGATATTCTTTGATCCATCGTGCCCAGAAACGATTTAGCATATCCTGAATAGCTTTCCAATTGGAGCGGAGTGCTCCACGTTCATCTACCGGTTTGACAGCTGGTTGAACTACTCCTGTAGAGCTGAGAAGCAGAAAATGATTGGGCGTTAAAGCTTCGTGTTCCTCGCTTTCAAGAGGCAGGTAGGTCAATGGGCGTGAATTGACCATCGATTCCGCTTCCACCAGTACAGTGACCAATGTTTCGTCGTCTGGATTTCTGTCCATCAGTAGACATCGAAGAGCACTTTTTACGGAGCGTACGAGCCGTTCCCATACGCCTCCCATGTGAGGCGCATACGGAGGGTTGAACTTCCACTGCGTTCTATGGTTGGTAATCGTCGCAGCAAGCGTTTCGTTGATCGCCCGGATCTGCTGGGATAGGTCGTTGGCTACTGCTTGGAAATTCTACAGGATTCCGCTGATAGTGAAGCTGCAACCTCCAAATGTACCGCCCTGGTTGTCATGCATGTGAAGAGTGCTATCCACCGCTTGACACTTGCTCGACCAACGCGGACAGTCAATGGTCCAAAATAATTCAGTCCTACAAACGTAAACGCTCGTACGTAGGGTGTGAGCCGAGCTACTGGAAGTTGACCCATTTTTTGAATTTGTGGCACTGCTCTGTATACCGAACACCAGGTACATCGTTTAGCGGTCTTCCGTACGACGACTCTAAGCTCCGGAACGTGATATATCTGACGAATTTCGTTGACAATGGTTTCTCCGTTGGCATGACCGAACTTACGGTGATACCAATCAACCAGAAGATGTGTTACATAATGATCTTTAGGAACTATCACAGGAAACTTCGTATCATACGGAACGTAAAGGGCCGCACCAATACGACTATCTTTCCGTAGTATCTCCTCCGTTCCTAGGAATGGTGACAATCTGTAGATACGGCTGTTCTTTTCAACGGTTTTCCTCTGGTTGGGTGGATTGTGTTGATTCCTTCGAAGTAGCGTAATCTCATCTGGAAAGGCCTCCTCTTGAACTAACTTCCACACTGTATTCTCCGCTTGTTTCAGTTCCTCGCAGCTGATGGTTCCCAAGTCTAACACAGAACCACCTCTTTTGCGTTGACAATTGTTGTAGAAGCGGCGGACATACGCGGCTGTTCTGACAAGCCTCTCCCATTTCGAAAATCGTTTGAAATCCACGACGTGGATTGAAATGCCGATGGACGTGGATGATTCTCAACTCCTCTGTTGTAGGGTCGTCCGTCGTAATGTCTTCCTTCGGCCATTTATCCTCATCTTCATATAGGAATTCAGGGCCGTTGAACCACCTGCAGCTCTCGTAGAAGTTACGGCCATTGCCCCATTTGGTAGCCTCGTCTGCCACATTCCATTTCGAAGGCACCCATCTCCAATCTGTCACTGCTGTCTCCTCCAAGATCTCCGTAACTCGGAACGCCACGAACTGGCGGTACCTCCTCTGATCAGAACGTAGCCAAGCGAGCACAGTTTTTGAGTCACTCCACAGAATTGTACGTTTGATTTGAACCGTGTGGTCAGCGATTATAGCCTTCATCAAACGTGTCCCGATCGTAGCTGCCTGTAGCTCTAACCGAGGTATAGAAAGAAGTTTCACCGGAGCCACTTTGGTTTTTGCACGAACTAAGCAACAACGAACCTCCCCGTTGTCGACGACTCTGAAGTATGCAGCGGTCGCGTAAGCGCTTTCACTAGCGTCCACGAAGATGTGGAGTTCAAGTGATTCGTACGCTTTCTCACCGTATCCCGGAAAGTAACATCGAGGAATTTTCACTTGATCCAGTGTCCGTAGTACACCCAACCATTGATGCCATCGTGGTAGCAGTTCAGCTGGAATATTATCATCCCAGCCAACGGATTTCCTCCATATCTCTTGTAGGATGACCTTGCCTTCGATAACAAAAGATGCGACCAGTCCTAGTGGGTCGAAGACGCTCATTACCAAACTAAGCACTTGGCGTTTGATAGGTATGACAGAACTATCGAAGAGGCGCTCCAGATCACTCCGGAAAGTCGTTGTGTATGAGAACATGTCCTCCTGAGGTAACCAAACCATTCCCAAAATGCGCTCCTGGTTGCTGCCCTTATCCATGACAAATTGCTTCACCGATTGAGTATTTTGTTCGCCGATTGTTCTCAAAACCTCAGGAGAGTTTGACATCCAATGGCGAATTACGAACCCTGCTCGTTCATGTACCACTTTCACGTCTAATGCCAGCTGAATCGCTTCGCCTACAGTGTCAACGCTGTCTAAATAGTCGTCGACGTAGTGGTTTTCTTGTATCGCCTTCGCTGCCCTCGGAAACTCTGCCGAATACTCCTCGGCGTTGATGTTCTTTACGAACTGCGCGGAACAGGGAGAACAGGATGTTCCAAATATAGCTACGTCCATCACGAATACTTGGATTGGATCTCCGGGGTTATTCCGGAAAAGAAATCTCAGCACTTGCCGGTCCTCAGGTCTGATCAACATTTGATGGAACATTTCCATAACATCAGCATTGACTGCTATTTGCTTTTGCCGATAACGACTAAGTACAGCTAGAAGCGGTGTCAATAAGTCCGGTCCTTTCAGTAAAACTGAGTTGAGCGAAATTCCTTTTACAACGGCTGCTGCATCCCATACCACACGTAACTTATTAGGTTTCTTCGGATTCACGACTAAATACTCCCAACGGTAAATACCACGTGCGTTTTGGGTCCGATTCTGCTAATTCCTGCTCGGTTGCTAGGTGAGCATAGCCCTTTCCTAGATATTCCGCTATCTGTTGTCTCAGCTTGTCGTATAGCTCTGGTGATTTCAACAGACGGCGCTCTAGGCAATTGAGCCTCCGTTCTGCCATCGGCCTACTGTTTGGAAGGTTAATTTCGTCATACTTCCACAATAATCCTGTTTGAAACCTCCCGGAAGACGTGCGAACCGTTGTGGCTTCAAGTATTTCTCGTGCTCGTCGATCATCTGCTGACTCCATAGGATTGGATGCTGAAACTCCTACACTTTCTATCGAAAAGAACTGCTTAACTGCTCATGGAGATCATCGTCGTGGTGACTTGTGCATACATGGAGAATCCGATGAGTTGACCCTTGATTCGTAACTCCTGCCTGCCCGTATAAAACCCATCCGAGCCTTGTTTTAGCGGCGACTGGCTCATTGGCCTTACCCTCACGTATCTTTAGCGTATTCTTCATTTTTGTATTATCCAATCCTATTAGAATACCGGGCACAGCGTCACTGTAACTCATAAGCTGGAAAAGCTGCTCTCCAACTCCTTGAACTGTACCGACTGCCGAGGTAATCCTAAACTTTCCACGGTTTGGACCCCTCTCAACTGGAACTGTTTGAATTGCCCTGCTCCAGAAATATTGAACTGCACTCGCTGAGAATCTTCTTCCGTTCTTTTTACTCCATTCGTCCACTGCATACACAATGGTGAGGCTGGTCCCTGTACTCCAAGTTGCTCGATTAACGACTTCTCCACCAGCGTTGAGTCCGATCCGCCATCGAGGAAGGCGAAGGTTTGAACGGATTTCCCGTTGGCGTGTAAAACAACTGGAATAATTCTGAACAGCACCTTGTGATGAGAATGCTGATGAACAGTAACTACTCCTGTCACAGCGCTCGAAGATGAACTGGTTTCACGTTCTTGGCTTGGGTTTCCAGGATGCAGGAGTTTATGGTGACGTTGTTGACAGCCATCGGCGCCACATAGCGATGCCTTGCAAGGCCATTTTCCATGCGGATAGAGACATCTCTTGCAAAGATTCAGCTCCTGCGCAGTTCTCCAACGACACAATAGTGATTTGGATTTAAACGAAGCACAATCCTTTGGTTTGTGTCCGCTTGCTTTACAGACAATACATGGGCGGTCACTAAACGCGACAGCTGACTTGACACTCTCTGCGTTGACAGTCGTAAATTCCTTTTCCGTGTGACTCTTCCCAGCATAGCTTCCCGACGAGTGGGCATTTACGGTAGCTTTTCCCTTAGGTTTTTCGTGTTTTTCCATTACTGGCGCCACCCTACTCGCTGCGTCGACGATTACATTCATGTAACTGGAAAAAGTCTGCAAATCGACATGCTCCACTCTTTGCGTGTACAATGCCCAGTCTAATTTAATATTAGCAGGAAGCTTCTCTACCAACTCGTGGAGTAGCATTGGATTGGCGAAGTGCAGCACTTGTCCAGTAGATAATAGGTGGGCGCAGAGATTCCGTACCACTAGTCCGAAATTGATAACGCTCTCCAGTTTCTCTGATCTTGGAGCCGGAGTTGATCGTACTTCAGCTAGCAACGTTCCAATGATAGCTTCTGGTCGTCCGTATAAGATGCCCAAGGTACGGATTATTTCCGGAACATTCGACGGATGGAGCAGGAAACAGTTGACTGCTTTCCTGGCCTCACCTTTTAGGCAGCGCTGAAGGCGCATAAGGTTCTCCGCTCCACTGTACCCACAGATTCGTGTTGACGTTTCGTAACTGCTCCAGAATAGCGGCCATTCCGAAGGGTTTCCCGAGAAGTATGGAAGATCTTTAGGAACGACGTGCCGTGCTGCAAGTTGCTGAGCGGTTGGTTGGTTGGCTGCCTGATTTTCCACAGGATAATGATAGACTGGTTCCGAACCGAACGATGCAGGAATTTGTGATGAACTGTATTGAGGTGCCACTCTGGAATTAATCTCTGGAACAGGAACGTTGTTGAAACTGTTGCCTGCCATGGGAGGAAGGTACACTGCTCGTCCACCAGAACTCATTCCGAAATCCACTGGTACCAGATCGATCGATGCAGGAATTTGTGATGAACTGTATTGAGGTTCAACTCTGGAGTTAATCTCTGGAACAGGAACGTTGTTGAAACTGTTGCCCGCCATGGGAGGAAGATACGCTGCTGGTCCACCAGAACTGGTACCGGAATCCACTGGTACCGAATAAGAAACACCACAGTTGTTTGTTACAGTAGACCACTCCGGAACACTAGTAGCATGAACAGGTATCGCGTGTCTCCGATCTTGAAGTATCGTATGATTTATGGTATGTTGCGTATTCGACGCGAGTGGTAAAGGAGGAGCTGAGGAACCCGCTATTGGGAACGAGAATATTGGGCCCTGATAGCTCGACACACTCAGCACTGGAGGACGACAGTGTGATGGTGCCACTGGGATGTTGGGATGGGGAGCTGAGGTGACAGAAATATAATTGTTTCCACTCCTAAACTGATTTGAGACTGCCTGCCCTCTGCTTGGATAGGTCTTAGGTACATACAAGGAGCTAATTGAGTTTATTTGTGTCTCTGGGTTGGGATGTGAGTATGAAAGAGGTAAATTTTGCACACTCCTACCTAGGTTCCCATAAGCCTCAACCCTACTTAAGCTACTTGCTGTACTTACCGGAGCCGAACCCGAACTTATATACATACTTGGTTCGACCTCCAATACGTTGTTTGAGCTGGTGCGGCCAGCCTGGTGCGATGGTGGACCATTTTCTTGATGATCCTCAGGAATCATATCGATGCTGATGGGTAGACTTCTTGGCTGTTTTGCACCACCTGTTGACCAACTGATTGGAGTCGATTGGCTCGTTGGAAATGATACCGCGATACTCACTGCTGGAGCCTGCTGGCTCGCGGAAATGGGTGAAATCAAAGCCATGATGTTACCTGGCGATTGATCTGATGAGACGCTGGACTGGACGAGTGGTACGTTTGCACTACTTGCCGGTGCTCTACTGGGGCTTGGTGGTTCGCTTGTAGTCCGGTGTTGTGTTACTGGCGCTTGCTCCTGGGATGTTGAACCATCTTCCTGTGACGTGAGTCCTGTGGGGTTGAGTTTCCCAGATTTGGCACTCAGGGTTAGCCATCCAGATGCGCACCTTATCAACGCTTTTGTGGCTACTTCGTAGACTCTTCACGCTTGCACCATCGTCGCTTTCCAATTGAGCACGAAGTAAATCATATTTACGGGCTATATATACCTTTTCCAACTGAATCTTGTTGGAGATGGCCTTGTCACTCCTTTCCTTCTCCATTTGCAGCGCTTTTTCCTGTAACTCCTTGTCCTTCTTCTCCTGTTCCGCCAGCAACATCTCCTGAAGCCTTTTTTCCTCAGCCAGCAGTTGTATATCTAGCTGCAGTTTCGCTTCGCGTGCACTAGCCGAGGTAGTAGCGCATGAGGCTATGGACAAAGCAGCTGACGGATGCCTATGGGCACACAACTGGCAGTAATATGGGCTATTTTCTCCCAGCGTGTTTTCACGATCACCAGCACAAGAATGATGGGCAAAACGACTACACCTGTTACATCTGAGCATCGAATCGACTTGATCTGCATGCTCGCAAAAGGTACAAATCGGATCCATTGGTGCTTTATTGACATCCGTCTGTGCGCCGCGAGTCTTCTCCAGGATTCAATCTATTGATTAAATTAAAACTCTTGAAGATTTGTTACGGGACGGACGTTCGGAAGTCTCTTCCAGACAAACTCGTTTTTATCGGAGTAAGCTTCAAGCTACAAAGGTTTTTATTTAGTAATAAGTAATTATTAGTTTTTAGGTTAGCTTACAGTTTTAGTTTCCTTTGTCTGTTTTCCGTCGATTGTAACAAAGATTCTTCAGTGTTTTGTGTTGTGCTGTAGAATGTAGGTTTTAATTTACAATAGATTTCATTTTAATTCATTTTACTTACGATTTTAATGTATTTAATATAATAAAATCTAAACTTAGCATAAGCAATTCAACTTTCAACGTGTTTGTTTTGTCACTGTGTATTGTTTTGTGTGATCCAGATAGCGTATAGATATGGTGGGAGTTTTTTCTGCCTCTGACATTCTCTCGAGTTTATGTCATTCGAGTACCTATACGGGTGGTACTGAACTCACTGGGCTCCGTCGCGTACACCTAGCTCTAAACTAATTTTCCTAATTTTCCTAATTTTCCAAGGCAAATACTTAAACAAGAAACAATAACGAAGTGGAATGCTGAACAAGTGGCATTGCTGGAGAAAACCCATACAAACCTCAAAGAGTATAATCAAAGGCGAGTTGGGCTGATAGATACCAACAAATTCTTCAGAAGTAACTATAGCTTTGCAATTCATTGTTGTGCGAATGTTCACGATCGATTATTTTTGTAGGACTTGAGAAATCCGCAGCCGAAACGAATCGACGGCTTGCGAAGGATCAGGCATGGCAGCACTATCGTACCTGTAAGAAGCTTCCCAATCCGGCTTGTCCAGCTGAGCTACGAGATTTCCTCTACCAATGGAGCTACGAGCAGGAAGAACGCTTCAAACAATCCACCAGCTGGACACTGGACGTGAACGAACGATGTCTACTAACGCAAGATGAAACTATTGGTCGGAATATGTGGAAGGACCAATTTGCCAAGAATAAAAACATTGAGCAATTATATCTTCCGGGAATCAGAAATGCGCTCAAAATTCTCTTTCTTATAGAAAATTCGGCCCGAAAAAGCTTTTCCCAAAGGGACGTTGATAAAGTGAGGGATGAAATACGAGCAAAAATAACCCAGCAGTTGGATGAACTAACCTTGCGGGTTGGAGGGAATATATGGCGCGATATGACGTGAGTACAACGTTCATCACTGGAGAAGTCTAAATTAATAGTGATACATTTGATTGTAGTCCACTGGATCCTATTTCGGCCGAGTATATGTATTCATCGGACATAATTGACTTCTGTTTGTGGAGTTTCCAAAACGTTCCATTGCCACCGGAATAGTGAGTTCTTCTTTGCATATTCGATTAGATTTTACCTCAATATATCTTATATCAATCTTTCATCCTCCAAGCAATTACCTGGTAAAGTCAATTGAAATGAAAACCTTGCAAGTGAAGTTCTTCAAGCCACCGTCATTCGATTTGAAGGATTGCTCCCTGCGAGGAATGTGGGCGCAATTTGATCACTATTCCGATTTGGATTCATCGTTCCGTTGTTCCGTTCTGGAATCCGTTCCGGATCTAAATGCTTCGCAGGAAATCGAGTGGGCCGATCGGAATCGACTGAAGATGCAAAAATTGCAGGAATTGAAGTCGGACAGGGAGAAGTATGATACGAATGAGAAGAAGAAGGAACTGGAAAAACTGGAAGCTGTGAAAGGTAAATTTTGATTGATTTCCTTCCTCTAGAATGTCAGCACAAACTTTTCAACCAAATTCAAATTAAATTCAACTCAGACTTAAGCGATGGCCAGACCGAGTAGTTATAACAAATTATAACTATCTTTTAATTTTGTCAAACCTCTTAACGGAAGAGCTTTTTGAGTGTGTTGATTTATTTCCTTTTAATTCCTTTATAATTACTTATCCTTTGCCAGATACGCGTATTTCGTCTACTACTTGCAGACTTCAACTATTGATTAGTATATAAGTCGTAGATAAAAGATGGATTCTTCTGTGGTGTTGAGTACTTGGTACTGATGAAGTTTGCAAGTAGAAGACGACGGAATTAAAAGGAAATAAATCAACACACTCAAAAAGCTCTTCATGTTACAATGGTTGTCAAATAATTGCAAAACAGAAACCACCATCAAGATAGCGCTATAACATGTTATAACTCTGTAGTCTGAACATACTATTACACTAGTTTACAAAACAACATAAAAAGTGTGAACTTTAGTGGTTGACCAACGTTTCTAATGCAAAAATCTACGCTGAATTCAATGCCGTGGTCAGAAAAAATTAAAGTAGAGCCATTTTTGAGATATACAAAAATTTTGATTTTTTGAATTTTGGACAGAAGTACGATTACTAAAATGTCAATATATTTGGAACTAGTGCACCAATTTTAAATCTTTTTTTTATGAAAGTGAAGCTAAATAAATTTGCTATCGTTCACCAGAATATTATGTCTTAATTAAAAATTTAATTTTGAAGTCATTTAAAAATTTACAGCATTTTTTTTCCTGTGAATTTTCCATAAAAATCTTGTTTTAATCAACATTTTTATGGGATAAAAAGATTCAAAAAATCATTCCATAATTTATTCTTAAAGTCTATTAAAAACTGGAGAAAATGAGCCTTTAATGGATGAAATCGGTTGGAAATTGTCGAAGTTATGAATTTTTTTGTAAAATCATGGTAATTGAATGTTCCAAGATTGGCCGTTGTCCCGCTCCTAGGTTCATGCACCACTTCCAGTAAGCCTTTCTGCGGACGTGTACGCATACGGTGCATTTCACTAACACTACCAGCTGTCACGCAAAATTAAATGGGATATTTTCAACAATATAATTTACGCTAGTGTTTGTGAGACCGCTCGGCGAGAACCTAACGCAACCAACTCAATTTGACAGCTTTCTTTCTTTAACATTGCTTAACGATGTATACGACAAAACGTGAATTCAAGTGTAAAAATGATCCTCAAAAGTTTTGTTACGCGTGTGGCAACTATATATTTACAAAATTGGTCAATTTCACTGCTTCGTTGCAAACTGCATACAGGCTTTATTTTAAAATTGATCCTGGAGACTTTGACGAACCGTGGATTCCAAAAGTATTATGTAGTTCGTGCAAAACGTGCTTGGCTAGGTGGATGTCAGGCGCAAGGTAAATTGATTTTTTGAATAACTTTCATATAAACAATTTATGTACAGCATGGTAGTGCTTTGTTCTTTCCTGATCGACATTATCTTACTTCATCTATTTTTGATAAGTGTTAAAGTCTTACTTACTAACTCACTTATTTGTTATCTGTCAGTCGCTATTTGTCCTTTGGCATGCCCACCATATGGCGTCGACCGTTTTGTCATGCAACGGATTGTTATTTCTGCTTGACAAAAGTTAAGCAACAAGGACGTCACAAAACAGTTGAGTATCCACAAGTGGCTTCTATGACAAAACCTGTTCCACATTCAAGTTCGGTCCCGTATCCTGTTTATCCAAAGCGGAAACGAGCGCCCTCTGTTGAATCGACCGTTACAAAAAGTGAGGAGGAATTCAAGGAGGAATGCGAGGAAGACTTCGAGGTGGAATTGGAAAGAAACCCAAAACTGTTTACACAATCCGAATTTAATGATTTGGTGCGCGATCTCGACTTATCGAAGGAGAAATCCGAATTGCTGGCATCACGCTTGAAAGAACACAACATGCTGAGCAAGGAGGTCAAAATTTCTTGTCACAGGAATCGTCACAAGAAATTTGACAAATATTATTCTACAAAGGACAAGGCATGTTTTTGCCATGACGTAAACGGCTTGTTTGAAGAGTTTGGTGAGCCATATGATCCAGCTGAATGGCGTTTATTCATCGATAGCAGCAAGTTGAGCTTGAAAGCCGTTTTACTGCATCAAGGGAATGAGAAACCTTCTATTCCATTAGCTCATGCCGTTAATATGAAGGAAACGTATGAATCAATGGCTCTATTGCTCAATTTGATAAATTACAATCAACACAATTGGAAAATTTGTTCCGATCTTAAAGTGGTTGCCATGTTGACTGGATTGCAACAGGGATACACAAAATATATGTGTTTTTTGTGTAAATGGGACAGTCGAGCTCGTAAGGAACACTACGTCCGAAAAGATTGGCCAAAACGGGATAATTTCACAATTGGTAAAGACAACGTTAAAAATGATCCTCTTGTGGTAAAAGAACGCATAATACTTCCACCACTACATATAAAACTTGGGCTATTCAAAAATTTCGTCAAAGCGTTGCAAAAAGAAGGGCCGGCATTCCAGTACTTGAAATCAGTATTTCCAAATTTATCTGACGCAAAGATAAAGGAAGGTGTATTTGTTGGCCCACAGATCAAAAAACTGCTCAATGATTCCGCATTCAATACAGTTTTGACACCAGATGAGGAAGAAGCGTGGAAATCGTTCCAGCGTGTTGTCACAACCTTTTTAGGAAATTTCAGAATCCCAGATTATGAGGAAGCCGTCAATGAATTGCTCAAAAATTATGAGAAAATAGGTATAAATCAAAAATATTGTGTTTGTTACCTATAATTAATTTCAAATCCTTTTATTTCACTGAACACAGGTGTGAATATGTCTTTGAAGATACATTTCCTACATTCTCACATGGATTTTTTCCCGGAAAATCTTGGTGACGAGAGTGATGAGCACGGCGAACGTTTTCACCAACAAATGAAGATGATGGAACGTCGTTACCAAGGGTTTTGGGATGAAGCAATGATGGGTGACTATTGTTGGTTTCTGATTCGAGAAACAAGTTCAAAACATCGAAGACAAAGTCATTCGATTCTCAATCATTTTTAATAAAACCTAAATAAATTTCTTTTGTATCAACTCGGTTTTAAATCCTGATATGCCTTAATCAAATTGATATGTAGAGAAAAGAAACTCCCATGAAAACTTTACATGCGATTTGGATGCTTACAACGACACCTAGAAAAGGAACTCTAAAGCTGTTGTATTTCAGCAACATTTTTAAGTGTTTTACAAAAATGCTCATAACTTCGACAATTTCCAACCGATTTCATCCATTAAAGGCTCATTTTCTTCGGTTTTAAATGGACTTTAAGAATAAATCATGGAATGATTTTTTGAATCTTTTTATCCCATTAAAAATGTTGATTAAAACAAATTTTTAAATGACTTCAAAATAAAATTTTAATTAAGACATAATATTCTAGTGAACGATAGCAAATTTATTTAGCTTCATTTTCATAAAAAAAGATTTAAAATTGGTGCACTAGTTCCAAAGATATTGACATTTTAGTAATCGTACTTTTGTCCAAAATTCAAAAAATCGAAATTTTTGTATATCTCAAAAATGGATCTACTTTAATTTTTTCTGACCACGGCATTGAATTCAGCGTAGGATTTTGCATTGGAAATGATCATCACCTTACCGAGTTCAAAAATGCTGTAAACTAGTGTTATCCTACAGCTGCAGGTTCGTCGAAAGTAACTAAAACCCCTGAACCAAGAAAGAAACCTACCAAGAAGAAGAAAGCCAAGAAAGTTGACGAGCCGTTGGAAGCTCCACCTCCGGTTGTAACTGATGCCACAGTCGTTGATATAGACCAACAGTATATTCTACAAGAGCAACAACTTTACGAACAGAGAATGGAACAAATCGGTCCCCGTTCCTTCAACTTGAGCGAAGATACTGTAAATCTGCGACAACACACTCTGACTGGTGGAATTCTCTCGTTAAACTGCTTCAACAAGCTACCGCAATCGTCGCAGTTGCGATGTGATTTCATCTATACTACTCTGCCGACGGATCTTAAGCTGGAGGAAAAGCAGTTCACCAGTGATGTCGATTCAGAACTGATAAAACTCGAAATCAAACTTCCGGAGAACTGCTTTTGGTGGCACGAACCAGTGGTCTGCCGATGGGAAGCTTGGGAAGAAAGCATCGAATTTCAGTCTCTAGACAAACAAGTACAAGACTTCCATCGGAACTACGAAACGATCATGGATGAAAAATCCAAACAACTTTTCAGCGCTCCAAAACGCCCAAGGAATTCACTGCGGCCAATGATAATTCGGGATTTTAATGTAAACGAAATTCCAAACGACGTGAAACTTCACTTTCTTATTGTGGACCATGTCCTACCGAGACTACCGCACAGGTACAAGACATATGCCGAGCTCCATAAATTGTTTGTGCAAATCAACAAGCAATTCATTCAAAACGAAAAATTAAAACTGGAAGAAATGCTTAACCAGCTACTATTCCCGAAGTTTCTTGTACTGCAAGCAGCTAACAATGGCGATTCTGAGGAAATGTTTCGACTTCCAAGTCTTGCGGATATTCCTGTCGGCAAGGAGAGTATGACCAGTTTAGAAGGCTCATTGATGAACTTAGAAATTCGTACGCCCATCGAATCAATGCTCCAGGAGATAGCTTCAAAGCAACAAGCGCCGACCAATATATTTCCACCGTGCAAAAATATCCCTCTGCTCGTCATCACCGAAGACTTGGAGCCGCTGGACCTAGAACTTGACGATATGATCCAGAAAATTCAAGAAAGTGTTATTGCTGACGACGAGTTCAGTGCCGATTCGGTGTACAAGATGTTTTCAACTTTTCTAAAGCTTCTGGACAGGTTAAGAGAACGAGAGCAGCCACAGTTCCCGGAAGTGATCGAACCGGAAGAACCTGAACCGGAACCCGAAGTTACTCGGCGAAGAACGGTCTTAAAAGACCCTACCCATCGTCATCAGTGGAATGAGAAATTCATCAGTCGAATGTCGAAAAGAGTATCATCATTCATGATGATAGGAAAGCAGAAACCACCCTCTCGAGGTTCCGCAATGTTTGGGCAAAGGAAACGGAGGCGCAGAAAGTCAACGGTTCAAAGTACTGCTTCCGATGTGTCGACGGACGAGGCTCATAAACCCCCAGAGCCAGAACCAACGGAATTTAGTCTCTTACCACACGAACCGGGACGATGGACTACCAAAGTGGTGCGTAGGCAGGAGTTTGATGCGACTGCAAGGGTCGTTACCGTGTGGATTGAGAAACTCGGCATCTTTGGTTTTTCTATGGAAAAATATCACAACTTGCCCTTTAAAGGGTGGGATATGAGAAGGACTGGGAAAATGTGAGTTAATCTTTTACCAAAACTATCATTTTACAACTTGATCATCGATTTCCATTATTCAGTTCCGATTTCACAACCACCCTGAAGCTGGATTGCGTAGGCTTACGTTTGCTCATAAACATTACCGAATCCGGCTATAGAATAGAATTCCAAGAATCTCCGCAACGCATCAAACCTCCACCGAACGAAATGTCCCTCGAAGAATTGGGGAAATATTTAACCAAAATAAACCTCATCATCTTTCCGGAGCCGGATGCCCCCTTCTACATCACAAACATGACCACACCGAAGCACGAGTCGATGGAAATTCACAACCTCAAATGCATGGCAGCGTTTTGCCTGACACACAACTTCAGTCATTGCTTCTGGAATAAGTACGCACCCTTTAGGGAAGCTCTGTTTCTAACTCGTCAAATGATTGAAGATTTTCCAGAGCAACCGTTTGCTACGGTTATGATGAGTCCGCTGAAAGCTGCCACAGTAACTGTGGAAGAACTTTGTTCTCCGCTGGAGGAGGTCAATCTTGCGTATCACCCAGTGCCTGAAAATCAACCGGTTAGTATCTGAACCGTGTTAATCCAGTTGAGTATTATAATCAATACGTTTATTTATCCTCAGTATAATCCGGACGTGTACAGCCTCTTGAAGGATAAATTGCTAGAACCGTCGCGCAAGTTGTTCCTAATCACACCGACTATGCTCCAATGGAATGTTAGCCAGCTGCTGTTGAAGCTACGTTTGTTCAGTTTCAGCTGAATACGGGACATGTTACATGTATTTAAACGCAGGAAATTCAGTTTATTGAGCAACCTCAGAATAACAAATCGTTTAGTGGAAATATACGTATATTAGTGATTTGACGTAGGACTACGTCTTTGATTTCTATATGGGGGTACACTTTGTGAAAACCGAAAATGGAACATGTAACAAATTAAGAAAGATTTTGAACGTTAATAACTCAGCTGCCCCTGGTCCAATTTCAATAATTATATCACCAATTGATCATAAATATGGCTATGCATCGATAACAATGCTTCCGAATGTTGATTTTCAACAAGAAACTATTGAAAAACTGGTAAATATCCAGCATTGTCCAAAGGCGTCGAATTAACTAACAAATCACCCAATTACCTACATGTATATGCTGCTTCCTCCGGCACAGTCGTCAGAGAGTAGTATGTAGACGAAACAAGTCGAAGTGGCATTCGCCTCTGATCCTCGGGCGCGTGCGAATAGGGAGGATGGAATTGCGTAATATTTTGCACACTCATCGCCATATTCAGAGCCAAACGCAAGCTCTTCGAGATAACTACCATCCGTCGTCTGGCTCGCCGTGGCGGTTTACGAGGTGTGCTGAAGGTGTTCCTGAAAAATGAGATCCGTGATGCTGTCACCTAAAACACGCCAAGCGTAAGCGGCCATGGATGTCATCTACGTTTTGAAGTGCCAGAGACGCACTCTGTTTGGTTTTGGAGGTTGAATCATCACCAACTTTGGCAACAAAACTGCTCTTTTCAGGGCCACCAAGCTTATTTCAGTAAATAGTAGGAATAGAATTCATCTGCCTGTTTGTCCATGTTGAGAACCAACGATCACACAAAATGCTCATGTAATCAAACTGGAAGCAGGGATACAAATTATTTTGATCAACCTTGAACAACTTTGACAATCTAGCATCTAATTCGACGAAGACGGCAGGAAACATTTGTGAAGTCGAGTTATTTACGAAAGAGAGTGTTGATGAAGAGAATCGATCAATGTAGATAGGACCTATTGAAAAGTGACGCCAAATTTGTTTTCCGTGCTGAGCTCCCACACCTGGACCCTACCAATCGACCCATCAACTCAACCGGGGACCAACGGCTTTACTTCTCTAAGGAAGCCGTGATCAGAGATGTTATGCCTTAGAACATGCCGGTGGCGCCGACTAAGATTGGACCCAGGCCTGCTGGGGTGAGAAGTAATCACGCTAACCACCGGCGCCGATATCTTTCAAGATGATATCACGGCGAATGAGAACGACCCAAATTTGAGTTTAGTTATATCAGAAATAAGAAATAAAGTGCAGGAACTCAGCGATGAGTAAATTTGCCTCATGTTTTCCCAGGTTTTCCCAGGATTTTCCAGGGAAAAATTCTCGAATTTGAGAAAAGTAAAGATTTGGTTCACTCAGTCTATTGGTACTACTCCAAGACTGAATAAAATTTTCGTCAATTTCCTCATTTTCTGGCAGATTTTTTTAGGTTTTCCACAGGAAACCAAGAGACAAATTTACTCATCGTTGAGTTCCTGCAGTTTTGGTGATTATGAGTGAACTAACTCAAATTTGGGTCGTTCTCATTCGCCGTGTACGCAAAAGGAAAAGAGTCAGTGTCGCTACTTGATAGCAAACTACTCATAATGGGAGGAGTCTTTGTAGCTTTTATACCACTTGGTTGCGCATCATTCTGCTTTAACCTGAAAATATATAGAAGAGCGCTGCTGTATGGCATTAGCTCATTTTTGCTTCGGACGGCTTGGTGAATAGCAAAAGCAGCAGTAGGAAGGTGGTGGCTAGTCCACTCCTTCACACCTAACAAGCAACAATTGACTGGTCGTGGCAAATGAGGAAAAGGTCTGGTAAAGGAGGCGCCAAGCGTCATCGCAAAGTTCTTCGAGATAACCGCCATCGGTCGTCTGGCTCGCCGTGGTGGTGTCTACAAGGTGTTCTGAAGGTGTTCCTGGAAAATGAGGTCCGTGATGCTGTCACCTACACTAAACACGCCGAGCGTAAGTGGCCATGGATGACCTCTCAATAAAACGGCCCTTTTCAGGGCCATCAAGCTTACATCAGTAAAAAGTTGAAATAGAATTTATCTGGTGCTTGTTTGCCCATATTCAGAACCACAAGCCCCCAACGACCACACAAAATGCTCTCCAGAGTTGTAATCTTGTAACCAAACTTGGAAGCAGGATTGCAAGTGATTTTGATTGATTCTCTTAATCAACTTTCTCTTTGAAAAAAAATTACTACAAATTTGGTACGCCTACAATTCAAAAATGGAAAGAGTTGAGATAATAGATAATTGATCAATTAAAAGAACTAAATGCTCTTCACATTTATTCCGTCCACTAGCGGTCCTACGTCAAGCTTCCGTTCATGCCCCTAGACACAAACCCTTCTACTTTTTCAGTGTTGTTTTTTGTCAAATTTTTATTGATGTAAAAATCTTCCGAAAATGACTAGAATATGTTTCTTGAATCCCTGAAGTAACGTGGAGCTAACACTAACCAGTTGTTTTTGGGGTACTCCGAAATAGGAACCAACTTAAAATTCACTTCATGGAATCGGATTTACACAGTAGTAAAGAAAGAAGTCTTACTCTTCCAGATGCACAATTTATTCTACACTCAAAGATAAATTAAATAAAAAAAAAGCTTAAAAAGTATGCAGATTCCCGCTTCACCTTATTGAGTCCGAAGCAGTCTTGTAAGCGGTCACGGTAGTCGACACATTTTCTGTGATAATCAACTGCTTTTGCCTCCAACACTTGGAAAAAAAAAGCTATCATAGTACAGTACCAAACACAAATGTCATACGACAGGCTCTGTCATATGACACTGTCGCCGAAGACCGTCACGAATGTATGTATTTTAGTTTTTCTCATAATAATGTTGCTGATGTTGTGCTTGTGTGAATTCTGAAAATAGCAAGCAATGATGTCCTAGGAATAACATTTCTGATCAGAAATTGTTTAATTTACACCAAATTGAGGAATTAGACCGAAATTACCCATGTCATGTGATAGTTATTTGATAATTTTCTTTTCTCTCGAATGTTATTCTACCGGTTGTGTTGTGTTAGAGAGATGACGGTAGAGCATGAGTGTAGGAATAAAAACAGACTGTCGTGCACGACAACGAAGCGAGTGTAGTAAAAAACGTCAACAGTTTCAACCCCTGGTCCGAAGCATGATTACTTTGGCAGTAGTCATTCTTGATTAAATTCGAAATAATCTTTCCAGTATTAAACATTATTCTTTTTCAAAACTGATATATTATCAAAAAAGATTAAAATTCAATCAAAAATTATTAAAATAGAATCAAAAATGATTAAAATTAATTCAAAAAAGATAATCTACAATGATTAAACTGGGATTAATATCAGATGCTTAGTTTTTAGAAAGAGAGTATTATTTTTTTATCTTTCTATATGATTAAACTGAGTTTAATGTCAAATTGATTAAATTTCAAGCAAAATGGGAATAGTTTAATTTATCAGTGTATCCAAGCTTACACTGTAAAAAGTTTTCACATCTAATCCAAATGCTCTTTCACTTGACTCAGTCTGTCATACGGCACTACGAATCGAAGTGATTTATCATTGATTTTCATTTATCATTGCGTTTTGAAACAAAGTGATTTGTCGTTTAAAAAAATTGCCGGAGTAGGCTCTGCCTTTTAACAAGTTTGACGTGAATTTTCTGCGCTGTTATTTTTTTCGGAGAAATGATTTCAAATCAAATGAAATGAAACAGTATAAAAAACCAATATGATAGTGATTTCTAAAGTTATTCAAGTTTGGGGCTGTCTTTCCATGACTCTCAACAAAACCCGTGTCATGAAGTTTTTTCAGAGCTTCAGAGGGCAGCAGCTCCGAAAACAAACTCCTCCAGTGAAGCCCCGACGTTATTTAGTTTGCGACGACGGCACGGAGAAGCGAACCACAAGGGCTGATCCTGGGGACTCTTTTAGTAATATTTCATATTAGCTGAACCTGATCTGGATGATCAAAATGTGAAAATTACAAAAAGATAAGAGATACAGGATTACAGGAAATTCTCCCTGAAGAAAAGGAATCACCAGGCATCAAAATGTATTCAAGGAGAGGCAACGTGTTAATTCGTTGAATAGTACCAGGTGGATATCATTCTGATTCAAGCAAGTAAGGTGGACCATGAAAGTACCAGTAGCGCCATGCATTTTCATTCTGTTGACATTGCTCATGGATTCATTTGGTGAGTTCGTTCCTACTTATTAACACTTGTGATTATGATGGTCAACAGTGTTGAATGGTCACAAACAACTGCAAAATCTGTTGAGAGCTTCCCATTTATTTAATTTAAATATTTTTACAGTAGTCGTTTGATTTAGGCACGGTTCGATTTTAGCAACAAAATCACAAAACTTTTCATTTTTTGGCACGGGGTTTAATTTTGGCAACGTGCCAAGATTGAACGGAATATGAAAATATTGTGTTTTTGCTCCTTGTGATTACAACTTTTAATAAAGTCCGCAGTCAATTAAATCATAGATTGAATTTCAAAATAAGCCCGTTCGATAAAGGCAACACTAAATTTTCGGGCTTGCTGCCAAACTTGAACGGGTAAAATTCAGCTGCAAAGGAATAGGTGGATTAAAAGTTTGTTAATAAACGTTTTCTAATCTTGTTCGCGAAAACCCAACCCTCTTACCCAACATCCCAGTGATTCCTCGTGGAAGTGCAGAGCATTTCTTGGCTTCCATCAAAGCGAGTGTCACGTCAACACATTTCTACCTATTCCTTTCTTGGCCTACGTTAGGGCACGGCCGGTGCTGGTATTGCCTAGTTTAAGATTACCAGTTTTTACACATTGAGGATGATTGCTAGTCCCAAGCATTAGGATTTTCCAGTAATCAAAGGTCACATTTTAGCCCTTGTTACTTTTATGACTTGATAATAGTGACGAGACTCGGGTAGTGATCACCGCGCTCTTCATTTCTATATTGTATATTTC